AAATACCTGTAGTTTTATGTTTTTAAAATAAATAATTTCCGTATTGTTTACTTAATGGTTCACCGTTGTATATTTTAAAGGAAGGAGATGGTCCGGTTTGGCGGTCATAAAGAGACTAAAATAGTGGAAAACTTATAAAACATACTTTTATAAAAATATAATAATAATAACGCTTTACTTATTCTCGAGCATGTCCCTTTAGAATAATGTACTGAGATGGAAACGTGGGCTATGAAGCTTCAGAGAATAATTACAAAATAAACTGATTTATATAATGAATAAATAAAAGAAAAAAATAGTATTCATCTTCAATAATCAATTAAAAAAAAAATGAAATATAGTATTTAAAACAAACTAATTATTTATTTATGGAACTCTAATCGATCTAGGTAGAAAGATATGTTGATGTATATTAAATAGTTATTGAAACAAACAGAAAATCCCACAAACAGAAAAATTGAAAAAAAAAACAGATTAATGATAAGCAGGACAGTGAAAAAATATAGTGCTATTTCTTTTATATATATCTTTTTTTTTTTTTTACTTCCTTTAAATTTCTTTATTGAGCATTATAACAATCTGTCTGTTGGACATTGGTTATAGTGAGGAAGGATGACATTCACACCATATGTACAAAAAAATAAAATAAATAGAACAAAATAATAATCAAAAGTATATACAATAGACAATAAAATAAAATAACCTAAAAAATAAGAAAATTAAAACTAAGAAAAAAAAAAAAAAACCACATGCATACCTATATACAATCAGGCGAGGGAACTCCAGGAGAACCCTGCGCTACTCTCCCAACCGCGCCACTGGTACTAAAGCCAGCGGAGAATATATATATCTTAACGTCAAAATTAAAAATCGACTAACGGATGCTGATATATTTTTAAAAAATGAAGAAATATATAAATAACAATAAAAAAAAACCACCTCATTTGGTGTGGACATCAAAATGATGTTTAAAAAGAAAATAAAAATACTAGACAAATATTGATGGAATTTATTTTTTCTACCATAGTAATGTTTGTTTCTTAGTTTATTTTTTTGTTTGTAATAAATGTGATAATATGTTTGATAGATTTAAGTTATTATTAATAAAAGTTAATTAATAAATTCAAATTAGTGTTATTTAATTAATAACAATTATTAATAATGAAGGAGATGGACCGTGACGGCATTCATAAATAGATTTAATAGCCCCAAAACTATTTTATTTAAAGCCAACGTTTCGACCCGAACTTGCAGGTCTTCTTCAGGGCTAGAACGAACAAGATATAAAAGTTATATAAATATGTAACGTCCACAATTTTCTATATCCTTTTGTATCTTGTTCGTTCTAGTCCTGAAGAAGACATGCAGGGTCGAAACGTTGGCTTTAAAAAAAATAGTTTTTCCATTATTTTATTCTCTTTATGACTGCGACCCCGAACCATCTCCTTCCTCTAATAAATAATTTCTATAAATTCGATATTACTCTTAAAATGTAAAATTCACAAATAAAATCATCCATAAAGACCTTAATGTTCCATATGTTTCCGATTTAGCTCAATCCAGATACCTATCCTTCCATAACAAACTCCAGAACCATCCGAACCCTTTCGTTTCAAACCTTGCTTCCTCCTCGATCCCTGATAACCCTCCGAGGCGTCTGAAAAGAAGATGGCCTCGTGATCTACTTATGTAAATATATTATTAGAGTGCTACCAATAGGTAGTTTCTCAACAAACGTTTTCATGTGATTGTATTATTACTATGTGCTAGTTGTATTTTTTTTTATAATACAGTTGTAAATATCAATGAAAAAAAAAATATATATATATAAAATACGTGTAAATAAATATTAATCTTTCACGGGGGGTGATAGTCAGGACGCAATCAGTTTTTATGATTTTTATTACCAACGTTTCAACTCAACCTTATGAGTCATCGTTTGGGCTGAAACATTTATAACATCAGCGATATGAAATGATATAGCAGATAATAGTTAATAATGATAAATGGTGAGGTATGAGTAATAATAATAAAATAACGAATTTAGAATGATGTGAATCAAAACTGACTACGTTCCATCAGTCATGATAGGATGAATCCTAATTAGTGATGAATATGAGTGATGAATCCTATCACTCATGAACAGTCGAATAACTTCCTTCAATAAATAAAGTGTTCACTAGCAGACCTAATCGGAAAATACATAAATGCGTTCATATTTATTTTTTATTTTAAAGTGAAACTATGATTCATAATAATAGGGACGAACTTACTCCTCAGCAATCAGCTAAGAGGTTAGAAATATGTGAACATTTATTGAAAAACCCTTCTGATATGAGACTCCTACCTCATCCACTATATAGTCCATACCTCGCTCCCTCCGATTACTACTTATTTAGATCCATGGCCCATTTTCTTCAAGTGAAAAAAATTGATGATTTTGACACAGTCGAAATTGCAGTCCATAAGTTCTTTGACAACCATCCCAAAGAATGGTATCGGCGTGGGATCGAGGGATTGGCGAGCAGATGGCTACTGACGGTAGATAACAATGGACTATACTTTGAGTATTAATTTTATTTTATATCAAAGAAATAATAATACAAATATTTTTTTTAATGATGTAGAGATGGTTTACCGTTGATATAATATGAGAAGGAGTTGATCGGGGGGTGAGGTCAAATTAAATAATTAAACAGGCAAAAATTAAATAATTCTACTTGTTTAATTTATTATTAATTTGACCGCACCCCCCGATCAACTCCTTCTCAAATATTTTTTTTATACACCCTATTACAAGTTTTGGCTGTGTTTATTTCTGAAATTAAGGACTGAACATCTAACATGTTGGACATAACATAGTGAACATCATTAATTTAATCAAGACAATTATAAATCACTAAGGACTGTTATCTGATTGATCTGGTCTTAATACCTGTAATTTTATTTATAAAATATTCTTAATTAATTTTTTTAAAATTAATATATAAATTAACTTATTGACACAGTTCCATCAGGGATAAGATTTATATACAATTTTTTTTTTTTTTTTTTTTATTGAATAGTAAATAGTATAATCTGCCACAATGAAAAACAGCAATAAGCGCTATTGCTGAATCTGTCTCCTTCATACGTATATACATGTAATAGGAAAATAAATAAGACTAATTAAAAATATAAATAAATCAGTAAGTAAATTTTCTTAATACATTCATTCCTATGTACAATATTTACATACATACGCCCAGGGTACTCCGAGCCAAGCTTTGTCCTCCAAAGGTGAAAGGCAAAGCAGGACTCAAGGAGATCCCAGTGCCTCTCTTCCAGCCGCGTCCCCGGCAAGCTAAGTGGAGAGTGAAATATATAAAGCTGGGTTTAGGAAATGATTAATGTCATTTTCACATTATGTTATATGTTATTATTGTATGAAAGTAATTGCTAGTTGAGTCTTACGGATGGCTGGAAAATGACGTCTTAGCCGAAATGTTGCCAATATAACTAAATAAAAAATAATAATGGTGAAATAAACACATCCAAATCTTGTATTATAAATGTACTGATTTGCAAATCAGGTGGATTATTGAATAAAGGTTCATCCTAAACAGAACATCTCGTCAAAAGATGACCTTAACCGATTCTTAAAATGTACAAAATTAATCAAGAGCATAGATTTTTTAACATTTAAGAGTTTGGATTTAATCCCCAATTATTTAAATTTTTAATAATAGTTCCTCTTTATTATAGCCTATAATTGTTATTTTTCGATAGATTTAATATTAATGAAGTGGATCTATAACTGTCTTCACTATGTTTCACTATTTTTAGTTACTATTTAGTTTCACTATTTGTGCTAACTACTGTTGGAAACTGCAACGGGAGACAACCGATGAGCTCTAAAATATATACACATTGACCAGGCATGAAGTTATATAATGTTCAGGATAAAATATTTTATATATTATTAGTCACTAGAAAATAAATAAATAAATGAAGGCAGAAAACATATGCTTCAGTGTGTTGTGTGTGAAATTTTATTAATTAGCTAAGAATTCATAAGAAAAATAAAATTAGGGCTTTAATTAGTGTTGCCCAAAATCGATCTTGGTCTTGCAAAGTGCAAGACCAAGACCAAGACTTGTCAAAACAATAAAATAAATCGTTTTTGTAAATAAAAATTAAGGTAAAATAGTTACTAATACTTGACAATTTCAGATACTGTATGTAAAGAATTGGTATAACCAATATACTTTTGCATTTAACTTTTCCAATTTTTCATTCCGGCTTAGTTAGGTTTTCCCTATCTGAAAAATTGCAATATCTTTATAGTAATAGGCTAACTGGTAACTGCAAGACTATTGTAAGACTCTTGTGCAAGACCAAGACCAAGACTGGTCTTGTTTTAGCATTCGGGCAAAACTAGGTTTAATGCTTGTAAAAAAATTAATTTCTTGCAAAATAGGATTTTTTTTTTTTTAAATTTTAACGCCCAAAATAAAAATATTCCACGTTGTATATTATCGGAAAAATCATCTGAAATGCAGTAAAATGACTGCTTCTAGCTAAATTATAGAAGGCTTTACAGCATCTTGTTTTATCGAATCTTGTTATTTTTTGATTTTGAGACCATTTATGAGTTCCTGACAGCTGTCCAATTTAAAAAAAAGAGGCGAATTATCTCAGTAAAATTTCATGTTTTTCAAAGTTTCAACAAATTGTACAACTGTGCCGAATTTCAAGAAAATCTGAGATGGTGAAATTCAGACCTTGTGTCGAATTGACATGGATTGATCCAAGGAGTCGAGGTTTACTAATTAAGAATACGTCTTATTTACGATTTATCTTCAGCTATTTGAAGCAATTGCTGAGACACTTCGATGATTTTAGAGACTCTCTTGAAAATATGAGAAAGTGGGGGTAGACCCAGGAGGAGGAGGGGGGGGGGGGAGGGGAGAGGAGGTAGAGAGGAAGGAAGGTGAGGACCAGTCAGTAGTGGCAGAGCAGTTGTGGTGCTGAGACCATGGCGGGAAAACATGTCTTCGGATCGCGTCTTGTCGACAAGAACTCACCTACTCCTTATTCGGACGCAACGCAGGTTAGTTATTTCATACATTCAATTTCATTTCCAATAAATATTTTTAGGAACGGAGGCAAACGTCTGTGTGATCCTGAAATATATAAAATCGCTTAGTCCTTATGATATGACAGTTTGCTTATTTACATGTCTAAATATGTTCATAGTTTTGTTTCGTAGTAATTTTATTAAGTTGTGCATGCTATATCTTAAAATTTATTCTATTTTATCATCACTATGTTTGTTTTTAAATTACTTGTCTTATATTTTTATCGGGAAAAATAAGTATCCATTGAGTATGTATTTATCAACAATTAATAATTGTCACTACTTGTCTTGCGAAATGTTTGTTTCTTCTTTAATGGGCATTGAACGTTTGAATTGGCCTTTAAATCATTTTTTTAATTATTTAAAGGTACGACTTTTTTTTTTATATATTTATTGATGTTTACATTTTTTTTTTTTTTTTTATTTAAATATGAACTATGGAAATATTATTGGTTGAGGCCATTGTTCGGGTGGACACCTTCGCAAGGAAAAGGATTGACAATTTGTTTAAGACCGGCGAAGGTGTCCTCCCAATGCTGCCAACCTTCAAGTTCAATGCTCTTCTTCAGGGCCCCCTTAACCCCCCCTCGTAACAAACCTTACCGATTTTATTTAAAAAAAAAAAAAAAATGGAGCTATATCATAACTTAATATACACATCAACACTGGGATATCTGTCGTTAGAGATGTCATTTATACGTAAGGGGACATTTACACCCTATCTGTTGTTTGTCGAAGACTCCCTTACAATAACTCGAAAAAAAAAGTAATTGAAGAAGACGCGATTTAATTTACTCTAGAAAATAATGTTAAAAAAAAAATACCAAAATAAAATTTAAACGAATTTCGTATTATTTATTATTGTTATAATTAATTATTTGCAAGCATAATATATTATGGAATAATCTATTTTCTTCAGAGTAATGTCTAACAATTATTTACCGATATTTTAGTTTCACATAGATACCATTTAAAAGGCTTTGTAAGATTTAAACATATGTATATTACTTAATTATTTGTTGACATTTTGCTAAACTGACATGGCTAATTAAAAGTGGTATTAAAGTTTAAAAATCACACCAAAATGAATTTTCTTTACTGATTGAATATAACAATTATATTTGTACGAAACTTATAAATATACACGAAAAAAAAAATTAAACAGAACAAAACTCAGATATATTCATTGATAATAATACTTAACTTCTCAACGTTGTGAAATTAAACGTTAACTATTAAAATTTTACTCTTAAGAGGTTAAGGATTTTACTTTACGTAAATATATCTCTGATTATTCAAATAGGTACCAAACATCAACATTCACTCAAGTAGCAGGGAAGTAGGAATTATCTATCTGTTGCTTACCGAATACCTTCTTATAACAACAAAGTAATAAAATAATTGATGAAAACTTAGTTTAATTTAACTAGGAAATATAGTTTAATAAAATAATATAGTAAAATTAAAACATTCTGCGACAGGTTCGAGTTATTTATTATTATTTAAATTAATTATTTATTAACATAATATTATATTATGAAATTATTTATTTTCTTTATGGAAAAAAAAATACAATTATTAAAAAATATTAGTTTTACATGGTTTGAATGAGGACATTTACTTTATTATTCAATATGACATTGAAAAAAAAAATGTAAAATGTAAATGTGTGTACACTCCTAAATTATGCATTAGTTTAAAATTTATGGACATTTTATTAATCTATCATGGATATTAAAAGCAGTATTAACGTTTAAAAATCACTCCAAAATAGGTTTTCAATATTGAAGGAATTTAACATTTTTATTTGTATAAAACATTTAAAAATATAAATTTAAAGGAACAGAACGTGTTTAATTATATTTATTTATTACTAATACTATAAAGTTCTCCATCTTTATGAAATTTACGATAATATAGGTAACAACGTAAATTTTACTCTAAAGGTGTAAAGGGTTTTATTTCACGTAAATACATTCCTCATTATTGGAATATGTACCATACTTCAACAATTACTCATGTATAAGGGATGTAGGAATTATGTTTTACACATTAATGGAGGTGCTAATTTTCAAAAAAATGCCCCCGCCATTTTTTTTTTTACATAATAACCCTACACATCAAGATCTAGTACAATTGTTAATTGTTGACATTGATTTAACATTATTTCTAAATTTTCGATTTAATTAAAATTTCATTTTATACAACCCCTATATGATCAAGACTTTTTGTATTTCTGGTTACTTATCTAATTATTAACTCACTTAATTATCAAAATAACGGCCTAAAATGGCTACGATTTGAATGTGGTCCATCAGGTACATTTTTTATTTCAAATAAATTTTATGTTTTATAAATGAATAAACTTTTGAAATTTCCGTATGTTGTCTGAAACTGTATAGTTCACTCGTGAAGACCTAAGAAATATCGTTATGAACTTCCCTGCTTACCATCATATTACCTCAAGATGTTTTGCTCTCGAGTGATAAAACGGGCCATAAAACCTTCGAAACCCTCACACATGATTCTTACGCTTTAGATTCCAATTCCAAATCTGTTTCTCCAATAGCTTTAGAAACTTTTTGAAGGATGGCGGTCTTTTTGCCTGTTTTTTCCTACCTCCCAGTTTCTTGCCATCTAAGGCCAATTAGTGCCGCTTCTAATTTTTTAAATAAATGGCCAAAAACACGAATGAACCAACATTTTTGAAGGATACACGGTTATAATATAGCTTGGGAGACTTTTTTAGAATTTTGATATTCGAAAAACTGACTCTAAATTTTGTAAACAAATAGATATAAGTAGATAGGACATCTGAAAATACCCTATTCTTCTGCCTGACTGGTGTCGTAACTAATCAGATATATATATATATATATATATATATATATATATATATATATTAATTAACTTGATTGATGACATCCATAGAAGATATCTCATGAATCCGTATTGTCAGACAGTTGTGGGATTTTACTTTATTAAATCTTATTAAAAGGAACTGAATAAATTTTCGATTGAATAGAATGTAATTCGTAACAAAGCGGTTTTTATATATTCATACTATTATTATTTATTTTATGAACCTATCTAGGATTTATTTTTTTTACGCCTTGCGGAAACCATCATCTTAAAAAAAATATTATTCATTTTCACTTTTTTTCCCCTTATTTTTTTTTTATTATTTCACGCGGGAATTTTACGAGTTCTTTAAAAATAATTTTTAAGTCTTATTTCATATTTATGGCAGAATATTTTATAGTTTGTTTTAATAAATAATTTATTTAATACATATTTATATTAAAGCTTTAAATGTGTTTTTATAGATATGTATGCGAATAGAAAAATTTAACATGTTTTGTAAAATCTTGCGTCACGAGGAAATTTTACGAGGTTTCTGTTTATGATTTTTGAGTCTTAATTCATATTTATGGCAGAATGTTTTATAGTTTGTTTTAATAAATAATTTATTTATATTAAAGCTTCAAATGTGTTTTTATAGATATATATGCGAATAGACAATTTTCCAAAAATTTAATTTATTTTGTAAAATCTTGTAATCGCAAGGATGTTATTATAACTATAAATACAAAGTACACAAATTTTGTTCAATATATATTTTTGGTTTGTTGAACTAGATATAAATTTTAAAAGTGTCCAAGGTAACTCCATATAGGTTTAATGGGGACATTTAGTTAGCATTAAATAATATAAAATTAGAAAATATTTATTCTTAATTACTTTCTACGCCTTTTTTTGGTAGAAATTAAATTTTCTAGTTTTTTAAATATTTTCAATGGTATTATGTATTATGAAACGATGTCTTAACTCGTTTAATGTTAATTACATTAAATAATATTGCAGTGTAAAGAAACCTATCTTATTTTTATCTCATTCATATAATTCCATTGAAGGAATAGGACTCAAAATATTTTTTAGTGTTTGGTTGCACATTGTGAGGTTTTAGACATTTTAGGGTTCAGGGGTTCGCTTGAGGCCATAACTCAGGTCAGGAGCCCCAATATTGCCACAACCATTTCAGTCTCTATTATCATAGCTAAGGGCTCTCCTGCCCCTTGCTTACGTTATAAATCATAATTTTTTATTTGCTCTTTTTCAAGATATAAAAAAAAATATTGCAAACAATAAAAAATTATAATAAAAAATGTAATTAGCGTATTATTAAATTCGTCTTAATTTACCGTGTGTAAGAATTTTATTAAGTTATATTCGGAGTCCGGATTTTTATTCAGTAAAAACACGAACCGTCAAACGGGTAGCAAAATATATAGAATAAAATACAAATTAAACAGCGAAAAAAATTCGAAATATGTGATAATAAAACTAAAATATTCATATACAGTAATGTTCCTACGAAAAAGTAACAAAATAAATTGGAGGTAGAAATGAAACTTAAATAAAAATTTTTTTTTTCTTCTAATATACCAAAATAATTAAAAGCAAAAACTAATATTGAAAATTTATATTCATTAAATTATGATTAAAACCATATAATGAAACACATTTTAAGAACCAAAATATCAAAGTTATACAAAATTGAAATTAATCTCAAATAAAAAGAGCAGTTGGTAGTTGTATATAAAAAAGACAAGGGATAATATTTTATAAATTAAATTTTTTTTTTTTAGATTTTTGATAGTGTATATAGGTATGCATGTGTTTTTTTTTGCTTTGTTTTAATTTTCTTATTTTTAGGTTACTTTATTTTATCATTTATTGTATATACTTTTGATTATTATTTTCCTTCTATTTATTTTATATTTTTCGTACATTTAGTGTGAATGTCATTCTACCTCACTACAACCAATGTCCAAGAGACAGATTGTTGTAATACTCAATAAAAAAAAAAAATTGATTTAGAAATACTCAAATGAATTTTAAATTTAAAGACAAATTAACACATAACTAATAAGAATTGAAAACATAGTGTGAAATACATATTAATAAATAAA